AGTTATACTCTTCATTATTGAAGGATACAGCTTTGTCTGCTGGGTATATCAGTCTTAACTTCTTTGCTTTTAATTGTGCTTAGCTATGTTCTTTTTTTAATACCTCATTTATTTTGTTGTTGTTGAGAATATAGACAGCAAAGCATACACCAATTCAGCAGTTTCTACACGTACCCTAAGGTTCCTATCTAATCTTTCAGAGTTGCTGTTGTCACTTTGATGCCATATATATAGTTCTTAAAAGAGCATAATCTCAAGGCAGACTTGTTTTTCTTTTTTTTTTTTTACTAGTTAAGCTAAACTGTTGCTTGGTTTTAAGAAAACTTCAGGGGATATTTTTGGTTTAAGGTTTAAAGATTGTCATGGAGCAATAATTTCGGGGGTTAATCCAACTTTCATGGCCCCAGGAAGTGTGGAGTCCATGAGAATTTGAAATTCTGTTATATATTTTCCCCCTTTTGATCAGAATTCTTCTATGGAATCTGTGATTAAAATGTTCAGTAATGGTAGCTAGGTACCATCCAGTTCTTCTGGTCTCATGGCAAAGGAGGCAGTTGTTCATGGAGGCAATTAGCCACACATTCCATATACTACTCCTATTACTGACTCTCCTTCTTCCACTGCTGTTCTAGGTGAATAGAGACCAATTGTTGTGCCTTGGGTCCCTGCTTGCAAGTTTTAAGACCCCAAGCACTATGCAATGAATTAGGAGGTAGAACAGAAGCACTGAAAACGTTATTAGGCCAATTAACTGGGATGTCCCATGAAACCATGACCCTAAACCTCCAAACCAAGAAACCAAATCCCATGAGGTTTTTGGTTGTTCATAATCAGCCTCAGTAGCTACTCTTTCTTTTTGTTGTTGTTGTTGCTTTAAATATATCACACAGCTTTTGCCAATTCAACTTTTCATAGGTATACACATACATCTTATTGACAAAAATTCTAATAATTAGCTGTGTAACCCTACCCTTAATCAATGTGGTATTTCCATCACCATTAACCCCTCCTTTCTCCCTCCCTCCTGCCTCTCCTCTGGTAATTTCTAATAAACTTTGTTCTCTATACATTTGTCTTTTTTTGTATAATTGATGTCATATAATATTTGTTCTTTAGTGATCAACTTTTTTCATTCAGGCTATTGTCTTCCAGCTCTATTCATTTTGTAGCATGTATGAAGACTTGATTTCGCCTACTGGCCATTGTATTTATGTACTGTATTTTGTTTATACATTCATCTGTTGATGGGCATTTAGGTTGTTTCTACTTTTTGGCTATTGTTAATAGTGCTGCAGTGAACACTGGTGTACAAGTCTCTGAGTCTCTGCTTTCAAGTCTTTTGGATATATGCCTAGGAGTGGAATTGCTGGGTCATATTGTAGTTCTATTTTTAGTTTTTTGAGAAACTGCCACGCTGTTTTCCATGGCAGCTGTACCATTTTGCATTCCCATCAGCAATGGGTAAGGGTTCCAATTTCCCCACATCCTCGCCAACATTTGTTATTTTCTGTTTTTGTTTTTTTTTTAATCTTAGCTATCCTAGTGGGAGTGAAATTATATCTCATTGTGGTTTTGATTTGCATCTCTCTGATGGCTAATGATGCTGAGCATCTTTTCATGTGTTTGGTTTCATGTCCTCTTTGGTGAAATGTCTATTCAAGTCCATTGCCGATTTTATGGTTGGGTTATTTGTCTTTTTGTTGTTAAGTTGTTGAAGTTATGTATACATTTTGGTTATTGGGTTCTTGTTGAATATATGGTTTCCAAAGATATTCTCCCAGTTGGTAGCTTGTCTTTTCACTTTTATGGTAAAGTCTTATGATAAACAAAACTTTTTAATTTTTATGTTGTTGTTGTTGTTAATAGATGCTGTTGAATCAGTTCCAACTCATAGCAAATATGTGTACAACAGTACAAAACACTGCCTGGTCCTGCACCATCCTCACAATTTTTGCTGTGTTGAGCCCATTATTGCAGCCTCTGTGTCAATCCATCTTGTTGAGGGTCTTCCTCTTTTTTCACTGACCAAGCGTGATGTCCTTCTCCAAGGACTGGTCCCTCCTGATAACAAGTCCAAAGTACGTGAGATAGAGTCTTGCCTTCCTGGCTTCTAAGGAGCATTCTGACTGTACTTCTTCCAAGACAGATTTGTTTGTTCTTCTGGCAGTCCATGGTATATTCATTATTCTTTGCCAACACCATAATTCAAAGGCATCAATTCTTCTTCGTTTTTTTTTATTCATTGTCTAGTTTTCACATACATATGAGGCAATTGAAAATACCATGGCTTGGGTCAGGAGCACTATAGTCTTTAAAGTGATATCTTTGCTTTTTAACACTTCAAAGAAGTCTTTTGCAGCAGATTTGCCCAATGCAATATGCCGTTTGATTTCTTGACTGCCGCTTCCATGGATGTTGATGGTGGATCCAAGTAAAGTGAAATCCTTGACGGCTGAGTATTTGTCTGTTTATCATGATGTTGCTTATTGGTTCAGTTGTGAGGATTTTTATTTTCTTTATGTTGAGGTGCAGTCCATTCTGAAGACTTCTTCCTCAGTAAGTGCTTCAGGTCCTCTTCACTTTCAGCAAGCAAGGTTGTGTCATCTGTATATCACAGGTTGTTAATGAGTCTTCCTCCAATCCTGATGCCACATTCTTCTTCATATAGTCCAGCTTCTTGGAGTATTTGCTCAGCATACAGACTGAATAAGTATGGTGAAAAGATACAACCCTGACACACACCTTTCCTGACTTTAAACCAGGCAGTATCCCCTTGTGCTGTTTGAACGACTGTCTGTAACTCTACGTACAGGTATCACATGAACACAATTAAGTGTTCTGTAATTCCCATTCTTTGCAGTGTTATCTATAATTTGTTATGATCCACACAGCCAAATGCCTTCGTCAGTTTGTCTTACTGTGGTTGCTTCTGTGTTGCTGTGATGCTGGAAGCTATGCTACCAGTATTTCAAATATCAGCAGGGTCACCGATGGTGAAGAGTTTTCAGCTGAGCTTCCAGACTAAGAAATACTAGGAAGAAGGATGTGGTAGTCTACTTCTGAAAAAATTGCACAGTGAAAACTGTATGAATAGCAGCGGAACATTGTCTGGTATAGTGCTGGAAGATGAGCCCCTTAGGATGGAAGGCACTCAAAATATGACTTGGAAGAGCTACCCCCTCAAAGTAGGTCTTAATGATGTGGATGGAGTCAAGCTTTTGGGACCTTCATTTGCTGATGTGGTACTACTCAAAATGAGAAGTAATAGCTGCAAACATCCATTAATAATTGGAACATAGAATGTATGAAGTATGAATCTAGGAAAATTGAAAGTCGCCAGAAATGAAATAGACCACATAAAGATCAATACCCTAGGCATTAGTGAGCTGAAATGGACTGGTATTGACCATTTTGAATCAGACAATCATATGATCTACTATGCCAGAAATGACAAGTTAAAGAGGAATGGCATGGCATTCATCACCAAAAAGAACATTTCAAGATCTATCCTGAAGTACAACACTGTCAGTGATAGGATAATATCCACATGCCTACAAGGAATTGAATAAGTTAACAGTTAATATGACTGTTATTCAAATTTCCGCACCAACCACTAATGCCAAAGATGAAGAAATTGAAGATTTTTACCAACTTCTGCAATCTGTAATTGATCAATCATGCAGTCAACATGCACTGATAATTACTGGTGATTGGAATGCAAGAGTTGGAAACAAAGAAGAAGGACTGGTAGTTGGAAAATATAGCCTTGGTGATAGAAGTAGTGCCAGAGATCGCATGATAGAATTTTGCAAGACCAACGACACCTTCGTTGCAAATACCTATTTTCAACAACATAAATGCTGACGATACACGTGCACCTTGCCAGATGGAACACACAGGAATCAAACTGACTGTATCTGTGGAAAAAAACAGTGGAGAAGCTCAATATCATCAGTTAGAATTAGCCCAGGGGCCGACCATGGATGGAACAGACCATCAATTGCTCATATGCAAGTTCAAGTTGAAGCTGAAGAAAATTAAAACAAATCCACAAGAGCCAAAGTACGACCTTGAGAATATCTTACCTAAATTTAGAGACTATCTCAAGAATAGATTTTACAGTTTGAACACTAATGACTAAAGATCAGACGAGTTGTGGAATGACATCAAGGACATCATACATGAAGAAAGCAGAGGGTCATTAAAAAGACAGAAAAGAAAGAAAAGACCAAAATGGATGTCAGAAAAAACTCTGAAACTTACTGTTGAATGTCGAGTAGCTAAAGCAAACGGAAGATATGATCAAGTAAAAGAGTTGAACAGAAGATTTCAAAGAGTAGCTCAAGATGACAAAGTAAATTACTCTAATGAAATGTGCAAAAACCTGGAGATAGAAAACCAAAAGGAAAGAACGTGTTCAGCATTTCTCAAGCTGAAGGAACTGAGGAAAAATTTCAAGCTTCAAGTTGCAGTATTGACAGATTCTACAGAGAAAATATTGAATGATGCAGGAGGCATCAAAAGAAGATGGAAGGAATACAGAGTCACTGTACCAAAAAGAATTGATTGACATTCAACATTTCAGGCGGTAGCATATGATAATTTTTATGAGGTCCTGTTTATTTGTTTTGTCTTTTGCTATTTTTGCTTTTATTATCATATTAGGCAATCCATTGTTAAAAGTTAGGCCTGACAGCATCGCCCCGGCTTTTTTTCTAAAATTTTATGGTTTTAGTTTGCACATTTAGGCCCTTAATCCATTTTGAATTTAGTTTTGTGTATGACGTGAGGCATGAGTTAGCTATATTCTTGTGTCATTTAGGACGCTATTATATTGTTTTGCTCTAGGATTTTCAAGGAAGTGTGTCAGAAGGTTTTGCTTTTATTTTTTAGGAAGAATTAATGACAGTAGGTATGTGAAATGTGTGTATGTGTGTGTATGTGTATCTTACGGATTTTCTGTGAAATGATATTCTGAAATATTCTACTCTTGTTTTCAGATTGCTGAAGCTGAAAGACATGTTTAACTCTAAATTTGGGTCCATTCCCAAGTTTTATGTTCGAGCTCCTGGAAGAGTCAACATAATAGGTATTTCTGAAGTTCCTCCTTTTAATTTTCTTCTTTTTTTGTGTGTGTGTATGGTCCGAGTTTATGTTAATATATTTCTTAATTTTTCCCAGGAGGACTAGAAAAATAGAATATTTCACACATTGTACTAATAGTAAGATGTGCTTTTTGCATAAAGAACACATTTTTGTCATTCCCAATTCATGTTATTATTAATTTTGTTCAGTCATTTTTTTTAATCTATAAATTTGTTGTTAATATTTTTATGGGAGAAGAAGATCTTTTTGTGTGCTGCAGGTTAAATTTTTAGAATGTGGTGAGTAATTTTGATGATTTTAGGTTAGAAGTATACTTTGGGTTAGAAGTACACTAGGAAACCACATACTTCTTTGCTTTTTAAAGTGTGATTCAGATTTTGGGGTCTTCTACATCTGTTTATCTTTTCTTCTGTTTCTTTTGTGAAGCACTTCAATTTTTACTATCATTTGGTAGCAAATAGCACAACCTTTTAAAAATCTTGTGTATTACTTTTCCATTCATGTCTGTATATATAATAATCAATATAATTGTAATTGGGTTACATATAATTTTTATTCTGTTTCATTTAATACATCATAAATGTTTTCCAAGTTTCTCCACAGTATTCATGATTACTATTTTAATAGCTTCATAATAGTTTAATGAGTTGATATTCTATAATTTGCTTAACAGTTTCCTTTCATTAGACATGAAGTTATTTCCAGTTTTTGGCTATTATATGCAATTATTTTTTCCCCATGATTATGGGTTTATTAAGGAAATAACAGGTTACAATTCAGGTTCAGGAATGCTCAGGATACAGTTCTTCAATCAGGACAGCCTCTTCTCAGCTGTGCCTGCAGGCACGCCTCTCTCTGGCCCCTTGGACTGTGCCCTGCTCGGGTGCTCTTTTGGCCCCTCGGCCTCTGCCCTGTTTGGGCAAGTGTTAAAAAGCTTTTTTAGCTCTGCTGCTAAGTGCCCAGAGGCATCCTGCACCACCAGTAAGCTCTGGCCCGAAGGCACTCAGCTCCAGCTCCTTGGCAAACCTAGCTCCACCAAGTGCCTGGAGGTACCCTACTCTGACAGCAAGCCTCATGGCCAAAGGCAGCTTTCTCGCTCCATGGGCCCAGGAAGCCTACCTCACCATCTCCTGCCTCTGCTGCTGCCATTTCTCTGCCGCCGTTTCTCACCATCTTCAATGTTACAGCTCTTGCTTGGTCTCCTGGTTCCAGGAACTTTTCAGCTCAAGGATCCTGGGTCCAAAGGATGCACTCCACTGCTGGCTCTTCTTTCTTGGTGGTGGTGAGATCCTCTCCTCTCGCCTCTGGGATGGCTCATTTTAAGCCTAGCGAAATGGCAAAATTGACCAATCCCTTCATTGAGGTTCCATATACCTTATTTGCATAGTCCCAGTCAGTCATTGTGTGTGAATCACAAAGACTATGGCTAGAAGGGCCATATCAAGCAATTCATTGCACTGAAGGCCACCCCCTGGCTCTTCTAGCCATTGGCCTTTTCCTGCTTGAAGAAACTAACTTCTCCTTCCCAATCATTTTACCAGTCCAAAACAATTATCATTAACAGTTAGTCCTTCAGTAGGGCAAAAGAGTAAGGGTGAGATTACCCAGGTACCAGCCATTCATGTCTGCTGCAGGTGTCCATCTGATCTGGTCAGGTTTTAAAAAAGGCATCTCAGCTTTCGCCCTTCCTAGTGTTTGGTAAAATTTAACCAAGAGAGGTTATTCCCTTTCTCTGAGCCTCACGAGGTATCAGCCTAGCAAAACTTTTAAGGGACTTTAGGTTTGACCATTATACTCAAGTCCAGCAGTGCCTTCCCCTTTGTTCGCTCTTTGACAGTTACTGCTTCTACAGTTAAAGTGTTTTTTTATTTTTTTATTTTTTTAATATTTTATTGTACTTCAGGTGA